TGTATAAAACTGGTCCAGATAAAGGACCAAAAACCACATTTAACCTTTTTCCAGATTAAACAAAATATCAAAAAAAAAATCTGGATATCAAAAGGTCAAAAGAAACAGCTTATGATCAAGTAAGCAGAGAACAAAGAAATACTTATAGCAGAAAAATACTCTCAAGAGAAAAAAGAGAAGTTGTATCAACATAAATATTTTAATCTATAAGCAGCATTTTTAAGTATATTTATATTGCTGTCATTAATAAAGCAACAGAAAGAAAGTCATTAATTTTTTGGTACCATACTTATTTAAATATAATTGTTACAGGTGTTAAAATTAGGTATTGCAATTAAAACGAGCTTCAATTTATATATGCAATATTATTTGGCAATATATATATTGAGCTGCAAAGGTGCGTAATATACATTTACATAAGAGAATGCATGGTTTCACTCATAATCACATATTTACGAGTGTATGTGTGTTAAACACCAACTACATATACATAACTTCAACTAATGTCAAATCACATGCATGTATATATCATGGTTAAATACAATTTATAAGTATCTCTGAACTTGGTATAGAAGCAAAGGCAAGTGTTTGGCATTACAAATAGTGACTATAGTTATCCACACATACATTCAATAAAAGATAAAAAAAACCCACCTATGTTTAACTAAATTATAGGTGATGTTACATTAACAAATTAAGAATTATAACTAAAATGACTGATTCAAGCTTTGAGTTGGTAGAAATACTCAAAAGGCTTAAAGAAATAAAAGACTGACAAGAAAGAGTAAAATGCAGATACTAAATAAGATAAACAGTGATGAATGGCATAGTAACGTGATTCAAGCAATCAGAGAATAAGACAATGAATTACAATACTGGTACAGATCAGAGGCCACAGGTGAGAAGATGCAAAATGAAGTGCATTTAGAGAATAGATAAGAAACGTACAATACAGGTAAAAAGATCTGGGAGAAAATACATGAAAAAGAAATTAAAGATTTTTTTTTTCTTTTTTTTATAAAAGTTTCATACAAATATTTCTGCATTCAAGACAATATGTGATGGGAGGCATTCCAATGTGGTGCAATGGTTAACAAGCTTGTTCTCACTAGAACAATTATGACTGAGTAGTGAGTTTGATCCTCACTGGGTGTCCCATACTTTCGGCCTTGTGCTACACTTGGAAAAAAAAATCACTATATGCGATGGGTAAATTGTTGACATTTCATATTTTTAATTTTGCGCATGTGTTGATTGTTTTTGATTATGTTGACTTTACAGTATAATAAGGTCAGTTGGGCACTGTCTGTGGGGGGGAAAAAGAGCATCATGACAATTCATTCTGCCAGAAATTTGGAAATGGCATGCTGTACTGCTTGGTATTTGCATTGGAAGCTCCAATACAAATATTTTAGAGTGTTTGGGTGTCAATCTGAGGACAGTGCAGAAAGAGTTGGACGAGTCTAATGGTGATTACCAAGGTGATTGGAGTGATCACTAGTGATGGCAACATTATGCCTCCATTCATCTTCCAACAGGAACTCAGACTCAACATGAAGATCTATATCAAGTGCCTTGAGTAGATAGTGTTACCCTGACTCAATATGGTAGCTGCTGGAAGATCCTGTATCTGGCAACAGGACTCTGCACCATGCCACACAAGCAGAAGAACCCAGTCACGGTTGTCAGACAATTTCTGAAACCACAGCACCCCTTACATCTGACCACACCTAATTGTTATGTGTGGAGTGCAGTTGAGCAAGAGATCAACTCCTTGTAACACCAAAGATAAACTAAAGGCTATGGCTGCAATCACCAATTTAAACATGGAAACTGTCCAGAAGAGTTGCAGGAGATCCCAAAGTCATCTGGAGGCTGTGGTTGAAGCCAATAGTGATTTTATGGAATAAATTTACTCTTTCATATTTCAAGATATTTTTGTGCAATTTTGGTAAATGTATCTTAAAATGAAATGTCAGTGTTAATTTCATTTTTGAGTCATTTAGAAAATGTATCCCTCTCTCTCTCTATATATATATATATATATATATATATATATATATATATATATATATATATATATATATATATGTATGTTTTATTGACTAATATACATATTGTGTCTATTTTTATACTGATCCTTTCCAGTTGTCTAAGTAGTTTTTTGATGTTAAGATGAAATTCAAGGAAAGTTCTCTATTTTTTTTTTTTTTTTTTTTTAAATCCAAATACTATTGATCTTTTCCAAAATCATTTTCAGGGGTAAATTACAAAGACAAACTTATTTCTCTGAGAAAAAAGTAACTATATATGTTGGCTTGATGACCAGAACATCATCATTGTTCGGATACAAGTTTCTGTTGCACAATATTTAAAGACTTATTCCCGTCAACCTTCACAATACAGGAAAATACTTGTTGACAACACCAATATACTACACCACAAAAATAATAAACAAATTCTCAAAACTCTCTATATCAAAATTAAACAACCAACACTCAACAAAATGTATTATGAATACAGCAGCAACATATTAAAGTGCATATAACTTTTATATACTAATGCCATTTTACATTTCTACCAATTCCTGGTCAGTTACCTTATATTGAAATGCTTGTTTTGAAAAAATTTCCATAACTACAACAGATACATTTAAAGTGGCTATAACAGAGTGTGGTTGCACATGTTTTTAAAAATCTCTGTCAAAACTGAATGCAGATTTTACCACTGTTACAATAAGTTTGTAATTTATCCCCGATGATGATCTTAGAAAAGTTTGCAAGTACTTGGATTAAAAAAAAAACTACAGCACCTTCCTTGATGAATTACATCTTAACATCAAGAATGATTAGATAACTAGAAAGGATTAGTATAAAATAAGTAAACAGAATATGTCTATATTATCCAATGAAAGTATATATATATATATATATATATATATATATATATATAATTATATATATATATATATATATATACACACACACACACATACACGATAGATATGGGTATGATAAAAAAAAACATACATATACATATTTTTTTTATCAGGTGTTATAAAAACAGTGCTCAGTGTTATATAACAGAACTATTAAGTATATATTAATGAATATACATAATATCCCATATTGATAGCACAGCTCAGAGTTTCAGGTTTAAGGTGTTGATTAAAAATTGTGTCTTAATTATTATTTGTTTTTATATTTTAACTTTCAGAGAGTATCCTGTTCCTGAAGATTGCATATTCGCATAAAACTCAGAGTCATGCTATTGACGTGGGATATTATGTATATTCACTAATATATATCATTGTATTTCCTTAGAAAGCTCTTTAATTGAAAAGAAGTATGTTCTCTCAGAAATGACAATACAGACGAGGGGTTGGGAAGAAATTGGGAGGGGGGGTGTACATGAAAAGTAACAATAATGTAAACAAAGTGTTGAAGTTTGAGATGAGAAGAAAAATATGAGAAAGGTAAAGGAAAAATTTAACAGTAAATTTCTGAGAAAGTGAAGCAAAAAAAAAAATGATTGGGATGGGGATGAAAGTTTAGATCAAAGGGTCTTTACTATTTAAAAATTCTGCTGACAGATCAACTTTCCTATAGTAAAGAGATATAGACAATATTAAAACAATAAAAATATGACAACAAAAAAAATAATGGTGATAATGTAGCATTAGATACAACGGGGACATTGATACCTTACAAAACATGATAACAAAAGTAATACAGTCACTTGTTATTGAGTAGCAGCGAGCTGTAGCACCAAGAAGCAGTGGCATGCATCATTAAGAAATTCTAGCAGGTGAGATGACACCAGATATTGCAACATTCACATGGCCTGAAATAGATCTCATTTTCAAAATATACGCAAGTAGAAATCATGTTGGAACACAACCCAACATGCAGCTCTTAATGTTCAATAAAGCAACAGTGTGAAGTAACATGCGTTTAAAAACTCCACCTTTTTGCAAGACTTGAACCAAGAGATGAGGAGATTTTTCAGAAAATCTAAATGATACAGGATCCCAAATGGATATTAATCATTAAAATCAAGAGTAGACATTTATACAAGATTAAGGAAATAAAATTTAAATTCATGGCATATCTCCTTATTTGTAAATGCAAGAAAAGTAATGCTCAGAGATAGGCACATTTTATCCTTTTAATGATATCAACTAGTAAAAAAAAAAGAAAAAAAGAGGCCACAGAGAAACTGACTAAAATTTATCTCTTAAAAAAAAGCACAATTTATGTAAGTGCATCAATAAATCTATAGCACAATGATGAAAAAGCATTTGCTTTACATTTATTTTTCAACAATTTTTCTTTTTCAATGCAATTAATTTATTTATATATTTATATATTCATTAAATCAAACATTATACAACAGAAACTTCATTTCAAAAGTAAACTAATAACTATATGTCAGGCTACAGACTTATTGATTCACTTTCAGATGAGTTAATAAGAAATGTAAGCAAAAAGTTGTTGAACAGAGCAGAATATTAAAACAATCTTAGCTTCAAACGGTCACCAAAGTTTTTTTCTTTTAACTTTTTTCATACTTATTAATTGAATCAAAGTTAAATTAATTCCTAACCATTGTAACTACTGTTAGTGTAACTTTTGGTTAAAGGAATCATTTTAAGTCATTTTCAATGTTTGCTATATTTTTTGTCAAAATACTGCATCAATGCCTAAAAATTAAAAAGTATAAGTAAAAACCATTACCACTAAATAAACAATTATTTAAAATGAAAAAAGTCAATGAACTTTATTATATTGTTTGTGGGTTAAAAAGAAATTTTAAAAGAAAAGTCGTTATAAAACAAAAGCCTTGTTAGTTTGGTGGGCATATGAAAGAGCTGTTTAATGTTAGGTTATGTAAAGTGGACCTAATTAGAGGCAAGCAGCCAACAGAAATATAAATACAAAACCAATACTGTCTAAAGCAATGTAGCAAAACAAAACTAAGAACAAACAGAGAATAGAAACCTTGGCCAGGATAGTCGCCTTCTGCATGCAAAAAAAAAAAAAAAAAAAAAAAAAAAAAAAAAAAAGAAGAAAAAAAAAAACAGTGGGTTAGTTCATATCAGGTTACATTGGAAAAAAAATGCATTCAAATTTATTGATCAGAGAAAATTCAATCAAGCAAAATGAGAACATGAAGAAATCAGGCAATTCATTTACTTTATAGATTTCATTTATAAACAAGAATCAATTGAAGGGGTAAAAAAAAATAAAAAATAAAATAAAAAATAAAAACAATGAGTAGGATTTAAGAACATTAGCAAAGTAGAGAGTACTTGGTGGTGAGGGAGATGATGGAGGTGGATGATCAAGAAGGAATTAATCTGTTCCAATTACCAAGAGTGAGAATAGCTTTTAACAAATTTTGCCATTTCAATTATTGGCCATCTGTAAATTGTAAAAGAGTACTTGGTTTCTAAATAAGGAATCCCACTTTATTTATACCATAGATAAAATGTAGTTATAAATTGGTAAATATTCAAAAAGAAAGCTCACCTTCTGTTTTCCCCAAGATCCAGAAGAAAATTAAAATAAAAAAAGAAAAAGAAAAAAAGAAAGAAAGAAAAAAAAAAATCAAAAATTAAATTTAAAGGTATCATAAATACAAACAATAAGTACAATTAGTCACATGACAAAAACGAATATAAATAAAACTTTTAACATTAAATCATAAAATTCTAACTTCACTCAAATTATATAGCAAAAACTTTCAGCAATCGTCATACATATAAATGAAGGTTGCTGAAATGTTCTTGGTCCTACCAAAAAAAGCACTTCTCCTGCGAAATTCTAATAGCTGGTCAGGTTTTGGGAAGTAGGTTGAACTGACAACTCTTCAGCCCCCACTTATATAAACACTGTGTGTGTATGAGAGAGCAATTTTTCAGAGCACATCAATACAATATTGAATCTATGCAGATGTAACATTCTATTTGACAAATTAATCCATTATTTTTGACAAGTGTCATACCTGCTTATAAATATTTATGCATCATAATTTTTTATAATCCATATCAATAATCATTTTGTTTCGGAGACGATGATGGTGTTGGGAGAATTTATTTACTATGTTCAGAATAAATCTGCCATAAAACTATTACTGGAATGTATTACTGAATGTAACTGCAAGATTTGTCTTTTGACAAAGCAAATAATAAAGGGAGATAATTGCAATAAAAGATGGCAGTAGTCTCACTTAATCAAGAGTAAAATTAGCATTATAACCAAAGATAATCTAAAGAAAACAAAAGCAATGAATAAGATCTTCTAAAGATACAACAGCAATAAAGTTTGAGCTATGGTGCACATATAGATAAAAAGCTAGTTTATGATTACCATTCTGTTCAATATTCAATGATACTCTAATTGAAAATTGGGCAAACATGGACCTCCATGCCCACAAAAAACATTGTCAAAAGGACAATTGTTCCCTTGACCCCACTATTATTTTAACTACCTTCACTCCCTCAGCAGTGCTTATTATTTTAATAAGCAATGAATAGAATTGTAATAAAACCTAAGCATATGAAAATGAATTTATATCTTCATTGTTCTTGAGAAATGACAGCAAAAACAATAAACACTATTTGATTGTTTACTTACAATATTTATTTATAATACTGTTTATTGGAATGGTTGACAAAACTTCAGCTAATTACCAATTGATTCAAACTTTATAAAATGGTAAATAATAAAAATTTCCTTATAGTTGGTTCACATATTTTAATAATTTAGTAAATGTTTATAAATTTAGGAATAAAAAATTGTTTTCATATTTATTTCTTTAATAAATTGCTAAGTGATAAATGTTGAATTGCATTAGTTTTAATTATATTAGTTTTTAGAATGTTGTAACTATAAAATTATTCTTGTAAATAAACAATCTAATAAATAATGCTGTTTAACATTTTTGTCGTAAATCCTCAAGACAAAAAAATGTATAAATTCACTTTCATTATATGTTTAGCTTTTATTACAATTCTAATCATCACTTTTTAAAACAATCAGCATTGCCGAGGAATGAAGGTAGTTAAGATAATAGTGGTGTCAAAGGGGAGAGAGAGGAAAAAAAAATTAAAAAAATTGGGCCTTTTGACACTGACTCTTTTGCAGGCATGAAGGTCCAAGTTTACTGAAAATTGCATATAATAAGGAAAGAAATGTACTCTTATGATGGCAGAGTATTTATAATGATTATTTAAATAGTTAAAGCTTGTAGATAACTTACTACTTGAATACTCAATCAGCAATCGGTTTATTAAAGTTTATTTTGAATCTGCTAACAAGAAATCTTGTTGAGACGTGGCTATAACATATGACAAAATTTTGGGCAATGTCCCCTTAATCATCATTGTTGGGTGTCAATTCAGGCCCTTGGTCACAGTATTTTGCTGTTTTAGCTATTAAATGTCACCATCTCACAGACTGGGTGAGCAGGTTGTTGTGCAGTTTTGAGCTGTTACAAGTTTTGAAATCACAATTGTCTTTCTCCTAGATGGAGCAATCTAGACTTGGATGGCAGTCTGTCTGCTCTGTTATTTAGAAGAACTAAATCAATACCTTTCCCAAGGGTATTTGTGTGAAAGTGAACGTAATAATCTCAGCCACAATTTGAACTTGGCATGCCAATAACTGATATACAACACACACACACACTGAGCAAATGTACAATTTAAAAAAAAAAAAAATCATAAAATAAACTTATCTAATAAGAAGCATATACCACAAAATAAAATTATTTAAATTTTTTAAGATTCAAACAATGTAATCTGAAAATACATGACAACTGCTATAATAAATAAATTGTAACAATGTTATAATTTGTTACAATTACAGAATTTAATTTTGATAATAAATATATCAGTAGCATAGAAAAAAGCTCAGATGAGTGATAGAGAAAAGAGAAAATCAACTCCTTGTGGGTGATATGCATGTTTTATGTTGTAGTTTTGTTGAAGTATTATTTTGGAATACAGTTTCATTTTAAAAATTGTAGGAAATTACATGGATTAATGTAATAGAGAGGGAGGGGAGAACAAGCATGGGCAATAGAGCGAGGGGAGAGAGATTTTCTTTAGCTATCTACAAAGGGATGCAGTTGAACATTATTATCTCGAAGGAGGTAAAAAGAAAGAAAATGCTAACAAGTACTTACGTTCATCAGCACTAACATCTTCACTTCCACTATGGTCCTTGCTCTTCATAAACGGGAACTTTCTAGAAAATGAGAAATTCTTTTTCCTTTTTTCATTTGCTGCTGCTGCCTGTAACGACAAAAAATATCAATGATGAAAATAAAGGTTCAGTTTTATGTTTACTTTGTATAATAACATTTTTCATAGGTATCAATGTCAATTTAGTAATGTCAACAAGACAATGAAAAGTTTTATGTAATTAATAGGACTGTATATCTTGAAAGTAAATTTAAAAAAAAAAAAAAATGAACACTTGTATTCTGTTGGAACAAAAGTTTGTGTTAAGTGAATTTCAAAGACAATAATTCTGCTACACATGCTATTTTTGGTGATCTTTGAGGCAGCTTCACAAAACCATCCTCCCAGAACTTGGCATCTTTTTCGGTGATGAAACTCACATAACTTCAAAAGAATTGTAGTAGTTCTTCCTAGTAAGATAATTTTGTAGAGATCAAAATCAGTGGATATCTAAAGGTACATTGCCAGGTTAGTTTGATGGTTATAGTAGTAGTAGGACATCCCATCCAGGCTGTACCAATTTCTTTTAAGTCCACAAAGAGATGTGAGGTTTGGCATTCTGATGGAAGATCATGCCTTTCCAATTAGCTAATTTTGGATTGCTGCCTTTATTCGGTGCAAATGAGAATGGTACTTGTCTGAATCCAATGTCTGATTTTACAGAAGGAGCTTATAATACACAATACTTTTCTAATGCCACTAGATACAAAACATCACTTTCTTGAAATTGTTGTAAACAATCCATTTTCCATCACCTGTGTTTATTCTTTTTAAAAATGGATAATTTTTATTGTGTTTCAGTAGAGAATCACAGATAGAATTGGGATCCAATAAATTCATTTTCCATTAAATCATAATAGAAACATTGTAGCAATTCATATATTTAAACGTTTTCAAATATTTTACAACACATATGTGGAGAATCTCTGCCATATCCTCTGCCATGTCACCTGGACCATTTTTTATTAATCGGCATTTCAATTTGGTCATCATCAACAACTGAGAATGTTCTGGCACGCCTGTAATCTTCTGGATCAAAATTTCCATTTCTGAACCTAAAAGTACTCCCAGTGATGGCACCCTCTCTATAAATAGTGCATATCATTTTTTCTGTTTTTTTCCAGTATTCTTTCTCTTTCCAGAAATCAAAGAGCATCAAATGACAAAAATGCATCCCATTTTCTACCATTTCACTCTTTACATATAAAACATTTAAGTTTCACAATGCACACAGAAATTATGTAGAAAGCTATACTGAAATGTCACTTTTCAACAAACAAACAAACAAAATATATATATATATATATATATATCTCAGTTACATATGAATTAAAATCACCTGTTTATATGCGACTTATTGAAAAACATTACAAAATTCAGTTCCAACCTAATATAAAGCCTATTCCTTCATGCAGCAAAGTAAACCTGTTTATAGAAGAATCATTTTTGAATGAAGGATTGTATTTATACAGGTGCATAAGCTCCCAAAAGTGGGGGAAAAAAATCTAGTTTTACAAGATTTAACTTTACCTTATCATTCCCTTTGCCAGTAAACTTGACAATCTTCAATCGTGCTCGCTCCTTCCGCTCAACTCTAGAGAATAAACAAATGAATAGAGAAACTATGTCATTTTAATTTCTGTATGAATTTCTGAGATGAGGGTTATCATTACTTACATTATCTATATACTGACTACTGTCCTCATCTTTGTTGCTGTTATCATAATGTTTCAGTCGTTAAAAATAGGATCCAGTCAAGATATCCCCAGACATGGAAAGTAGAACACTCTACTCTTGTAGATTAAATAAAAAGGTTCATTTCAGAATGTACAACTGATGAAGGCCAGAGAGTGCAACAGCTAAAATCTTGTGTTAACAACAAAGATGAGGAGAAAAGTTTGTATGTAAATAGAGTAAATATGTCACTTTAATTTTCATAAATTACATTAGCATAAAAGGTTAAAAATTCATCCTCTTACAGCAGGAAGGAAATTAAAATTTTCTAGATTCATATATGAATAAAAAACAATAGTCATATTTAATAGTCAGATTTATGTATGAATAAAAATGATAATGGTCATATGTCTACAAAATATATCCAAGCTTCAAACTCATTTGTTTAAAAATTATAAATTAAAATAAAAATAATTCAAACCTAAATCTCCATTTTTTTTTTTTTTTTTTTTTTAACAACAGATTACTACAGCTGCTAAACTTGTCATAAGTGCATCTAATATACTTTAAGAAAGATAAATTGCTAATTATTGATTACTGGATAAAAAAAATTATGCAATAAGAATTCTGACAGGTTTTACAATTATTAATAAATAGAATCTCAATAAAACTGATATCAGGTCTTAATTTCAAGGAATTTGCAAGGCAATGTGCCATAATTATAATGTTGAAGCTTACCTATTGTAAATTCAAACTGCTAATAAAATCAAATATAGAGGACCTAATAAAAAACTAAGTTATTTAATAACAGGCTGAAATTGTTATATTACTTTTAATAAATGCTTGTCCTCCACACCTACCAAAAACAAAACAAAAAAAAAATTATGGTTCTAGTTTCAGCTGTGTATGCGGAAAGCTTATAGAAATTTCTCAATGTACTTAAGAGACAAAAAGTTTTTATATATCCATAAATTTACATAAACAAAAAAATATGAACAGTATTTCTAGGGAAAAATGATTTTTCTGTTTAACTTATCCATGCTCTGCAGAAAATGCAAGTAATTTGAGCATGGTGAAATACTGGTTATCAAGTACCTTTTTGATGGCAAAATATTAGATATTTGAATTTCATAAATTCGAAATTTGTAACAAATGAATAAGAAACTTGTTTCAAACTGGGCTAAATGGAGAATGAAAAATAGTTCAATATTCTCAACTAAAACTGAGGAATGGACATGGGATATTTTAAGTTTGTTTAAAATTTCATCATAGATTTTACCCATTACTATTAAATGGCAGATTTTTTTAATACCTATAATCATTAATGAATTCATGTGTAGTAAGGTAACAAGACAAGTCAGTGTTATTTGAAGGAATTTACAAAATCCAATGCAAGTTATTAGTACAAAAAGAAAAAAGAAAGATTAAGATCTTGAAATAGTCTTGTTTTAATAGCTTATAATTTAATGAAGCAGATTGGAAATAAAAGTTTTTGATTCAAGCAAACAAAAACATGGGTATGTTTAATAAACAAGGGTAAACAAACTTGTGCCTAAGAAAAGAAATAGAAAAGACTTCTATATGAATGCTAACTATAACTTCTATATGAATGCTAACTATAAGTATAAAAAAAGAAAAAAATCTGACCTTCTTTTACTGGGAATTATTCCCATTCCTTCTTCTTCGCCTTCTGGGGTGATACGCCTGGCTTGCCACCATTCATCGTCACTAGCATTAGTCACATGCAAAATGTCCCCATATTTGAACGCCAGTCCTTTACTTGGCAGTCCACTGTCTTTTGTAGGATCATAATCAAACAAAGCTCTGCAATCAAAGACAGAGAAATAATAATTAAAAGACAAACAAGCAAAAAAAAAAAAAGTTTTATAAAAGTAACAGAAACAATTTCTAATAATTTATATAAAACCAATAAAGATGGCCTACAAAGAAATTAGCTGTCGGAGGAGAACTTGGAATCATACATGTTGCAAAGGAATTGTTAGATGAATTGGATGTAGAAGCAATTATTGGCAGATTTGTACAATCATGTAGTGAATATAAACGATCACTCATAATATAGGTGAATGTGTGCTTTTATCTGTTAATGTGTAAATTGTGCAGTAAAAACATCAACTATTTACTTAAAATTAAAAAAAAAAAATTCAATTAAAACATTCTGTATTTACATTTGGTACCTACTGGCAGTAATATGTACAGTACATGTATATTGTAATTACTAAGAAATGGATCTAAAAATATTGGTTGACTTGAAACAAAAGATATGTGGTTCTACAAAAGGATGCTGAACCAAACTTGTGAGCCATGACAAAATTTTAGAGAAAATACAAACAAAAAAAGACACTCATACAGAAAGAGACAGTTGAAATTTCTAGGGCACATTAGAAAAGAGGGCTTGGAAAATTTGACTCTCACAGGATATATTAAGGGCAAAAGGGACAGGAAAAAAAACAAAAAAAAAAACAATGCATAACCTATCTAGTGAGCTTGAGCAAATAGATGAGCAACAATAAGAAGACAATTTATTAAGAACTACAAAAGACATGAAATTGTGGAAAGCCATGATTACCAAAGTCCTGAAGGGACATGGCACAAAGAAAAATCCCTTCAGATTTTTTATCAACTCATTTGTTCTTCAATTAGAACTAATATTAATTTAAGAAATATATGAAATTATAAAGAATATGCAGCAATGTGAAATACCAAAACAAATAATGAAAAAGTAAAAGGGCTTTAAAAAGCTTATGTCTGTGATTGGAACATTTTCAACTAATGAGCATAAGGAATGTTAAATAAAGACAATTTCTTTGATCAGAAAATAAAATAGTAAAAAAATTAAAGGAAACTAAGAGGGGGAAAAGTGTAATTTTTCAGTTTTGTCATTTAATTTATTCTGGGGAAAAAAAAGTAAATAAATTAAGAAAAAAAATTATTTTATTTGACTTTTTAAAAAAGTAATAGACACAATCTAGAATTGTAGGTGGGACTATGAAAAATAAAATCAAAGCTAAGTTCAAATTCTAGCTAAGAAATCTCCTTTTCCCATTAGCTAAATAAATAGCAAGGCAGGCTATCTTGCCTTGGATAGCAACCAGTCTAAGAGTAAAACAGCTCAATTCAAATCTGTGGAAACAGTGACTATTCCAATATATTTCCCCAAATAAATCATGGCAATATAGAGTTGAAAAGAAAAGGAAGCTGTGGTGAGCCACAAAAACCTATGCCCTGAAAAGACATGACAATTAAAGAGAGGGAGATACTTTAAAATGCTGATGCCCTTGCTCTAAATGTTCCTGACAGAATCCATATTTGTGTTTCAAAATAGCCCTGAATATCAACCTAACTTGGTTAATTTAATAAAGTGAGGACACATTTAAACACATTACTTTTCAAAAATTAACTCCAGATTTTAACATAATTCCTTCTTCTAATTCAGTGTTTTTAATTACAAAAATGATCTTATCTCTTTCATTCACTACTTTGGTAGATTTGATTTTTTTCATTTTTAGTTTAGAAAATGGTTGGTATTTGTAAATAAGACTAAATATTACTAAGAGTATATTGAACTTTACAAGTACTGTCATCAAGATTAGGTTTTCAGCACATATAATAATAAAATGGAACTATCATTTTTTTTCTTCTCTCTATAGAAGAAAAAAAAAAAAAAATCTAAATTATTTGCTTTGATGATCATTATTTTTTTTTTTTTTTTTTACTCTTGAGTAAAACTTGTAAAACTTGAGGCATAATGCTACAAAAAATTCCAATATAAACTCTTATCACAATTCTAAGAAAAATCTCAGCACTTTTAAAGCAGCCATATTTATATATCTTATATACTCACGTATAAGCAAACTTCAAGTATAGTGCTATCCCAGAATATTTTTGTATGAATTTTAACCCCACCAAAAAAATTTACTTGTATATAGTGTAACCGGTCACCAAAAATGCATGAGTTTTTTTTTTTTTAACCTCTTCAAAAAACATTATGTGTGTATAGCATGAGCCCCTATTTTTTTTGCACAAAAAATTGATCATAAAAACTTGCACTATACTTAAGTATATATGGTACTTGATAAAGAAAAGAATCATATAAAACTGGGGCAGTATATACAAGACTATTAACTCAATCGATTGTGAACTGGGGCATGATTTGGCTGGTCAACTTCAACGCTTCGAAGACAAAACTGCTCTCTATTAATCACCACAGAGAGCCTTCCCTTCCTCCATTAGAATGTCTGACGCTCAACTTCAAAGAGCAACTCTCTGCGGCTTCTCGGTCTCACGTTGACTGCTGACCTGAGATGGAATAAATACATCGAGTCAATTGCCTCGTCCACTGCGAGGAAAGTTGGCTCCCTGAGCGATGCTAGGAAGTTTTTTCCCCTGAGTCGATCCTCCAGATATACAAATCCACAATTAAGCCCTTGCATGGAGTATTGCTGCCATATATGGTCTGGCGCCCCTTCTGTTTGCCTCGGGGTTCGAGATAGGCTCCAGAAGCGGATATGCAATATGGTTGGTCCTGCCCTGGCGTCTCGTCTACAGTCACTTTCTCACAGACGCACCGTTGCCTCCCTCTGTCTGTTCTACAAATACTTTCATGGAAATTGCTCCGAGGAACTGCATTCGCTGGTTCCCAAACTTCATGAGTTCAAAAGCGCCCCTCACGAGGCTGGCATCCCGCTCTCACCCCTTCACTGTCGAAACTCCTAAATGTAGCCGTCTCTTCTTCTCTAATAGCTTCATGTCTCGCACCTCTCGCCTGTGGAACTCTCTTCCCTTCTCCTGTTTCCCTGAGAGTTATAATCTCCAGCTATTCAAGTGTAATGTCAATCGACATCTCCAGTTGCCTTAATCTATCTACTACCCTCATCCTTTCTTCTATCACTCCTATCTGATCTTCCTATTTTCTGTAACCCCTTGCGTCCTAGTGGCTTCCCGCCTTGCTTGGGGTGAAATGCTTAAAAAAAAAAAAAAACTTGACAACTTCTTGATAAAGTTAACAGCAGAAAATGATTTAATGATACAATCTTAATTTTTAACTTGTCATTGTAAACTTAATTTTTTATTAAACAAGTAAATAATTATCAGATTTTAGATAAAACTGGAGGCAACAGAAATGTGGTTCCACAGAAGGATGCTAAAAATTCTACAGATGAAGTGTATAAGCAACAAAGAAATCTTAAGGAAAATGGAAACAAAAAGGATATTTTTATTCAGAATCAGAGAGACAGCTGAAATTTCTTTGACACATAATGAGAAAGGAGGATTTGGTTTGTTTTACAGCATATCAACCTCAATGGGTTATTTAATGCCGACAAACTTTTTACTGCTGGTAATATATTTTTTTTCAAAAATGTATTTCTGGTAATATTTTTTTCAAAAAATATATTGCTCATAATAATTTATTTTACAATGTATTTCTGGTATTAAAACCTATTTTTACACTTTCATAGTGTCTTGACCCCATTTTGGGGTTAACTATTTGCCCAAAGCTGGGACCCTAACAGGTACTACCACCCTGGGTCAGGGTAGACCTGGGAACACCAGCAATTAAGAGGTGGTAGCATGCTCCTCAAAAACTCCTGATCAGAGGTCTTGCTGTCGGACGTAGTTTATCGTTCTACCCAGGATGCAGATGTAGTTTATCGTCATATCCAGAATGGAGGAGGACTTGGAGAATTTGTCACACATAGGACATATTGAAGGCTACAGGAGAAGAGGAATGCAGTGGACCATCTACCTGATGAGCTTGTGTGAATGGATAGATGGAAGAAGGTGAGGGGTGTTTTGTAAAAGGAGACATACTGCAAAGATCTACAAAGGATAGAATGTTATGGAGTCCTGAATGCCAATGTAGAAGAATTATTTTTAAAAAAATTTCTTACAAAATGGTTTAAGAAAGAATTCTGATAAAATCTGGATTTGATTTCTGAAAAGTAATACATTTAAAATGTTGTGACTTTCTTAAATGATTTTAGGCTGATATTCAATGCTATTTTGGAACAAGGAAAGATTGGGTCAGGAACTTTGAGAGCTTTAAAGGCATCAGTTTCTTCTTTTTTTTTCACTTAAAGCTTTTTGAAATTAACATCAAATATTTTAGCTATAAATACATACAAGATGTGCATTTCTGTAGATTTGCAAAGAATGCAAACATAATATTTATTTAATTTTTATTTTTTGTTACAAGGTGTGCAGATAAGAGAAATAGGTGTAATCATCAATAAGCAATTTAACTATTTAAATGTACTCTCACTCAGTTTATAATTATCAACATGAACACCTAAAAATGGATTTCCACAACTCACTTAAATAAACTTTTATTTGTATTTGTAGGTTATTAAAACACACTGTAGTGCTTAAAGAAAAGCTGTTAATATATGCTACTTACCTGACATATAAAGTTCGTTTTTGTGTTGTTCGTAAGCTGCCAGTGCTTGTGTTCATTATTTGTTCCCGTAGGTCTTGAATTTTGGTTTCAAACCGGTTGTATTCTGCAAAAGGGGTGAGGGACAGAAAAAAAAAAGAAAAAGATTTTTTATAAATCATGCCATGATTAATGTCAACCAAAATATCTATTTAGTTACATGAAAAAAAAAAAAGAAGAACCACAACCACATCACATACTCAGTTATTGTGCTTAAATAAAACAAGCTACAACGATAAAAAGGTAATATTTACAGTGATAAATTTCAAAAAGAGTTTTCAAGAGGAGTAAGCTACTTGCATATTTTGAAAAGGTTTTAAGGAAATAGCAAAGAATAGAAGCAGAGTAACTTATTCATTCTCAGTATCAGACCAATTGTCCATTCAAAGCATAGTATTGTTAGTTCTCATCCACCCTTTTTGTTTTTTTCATACCATTTCAGGTCAGGTCGAGCTTAGGCCTGCTATTGGTAACATGTAACCCAGTACAACCTGCTGCATAGACAGCTGGTTGCTGTCTAAACCAGCTCCCTTCAATAGCTTTTTCTGCTGGTGAGGAGGGTGGTAGATCATTCCACAAGACGAAAAACAAGACCTTTTCTTTAAAGGGCAAATAAGCTTCTTATAGGAGCCACTGACCAACTAAACACACAGGTACTTTTGACTACCCTGAGTGAGTTGGGTATCAGGAAGAGCATCTGACCTCAATTCATTATGACAAATCCTTTATCAGGCAGAACCCACATATTAATCCTGGACTCACGTCAACATCAACAACAAAAAAAAGAAGAAAGACACAGCTATAATGCATGTTATTTTTCATATGTAAAAAAAAAAAAAAAAAAAAAAATTAGAGCCTAAAGCTGAACACTTATTATTCAATAATGACCAAGTTAGCATAAAAACAATTTTATTCTTGGGTTTATTAAAAGGGATTTTAGCCTAGAGCTGGAGCTCAGGTTTTGATATTCAGTCATCATGATGGATAAAAATCAAAGATTACAAATGGTTCAAGATGATTTTTCTGCATTTAGAATACAGGTATCAAAGTTATTGCAATTTTACATGTCACAAATTCACCTGTGAAACACGTTTTTGTTGCTCTTTCTGTCAATACTAAATAAAATAGAAAATAAATTGGATATACACATTTATATGTTAAATACAAGTAATCAAAGTGAATAATTTATATCCTTCAACAAAATATTAATAAATAAAAATGTGAAATTTGCATGAAATGGCATAAAATGACAGTAAAGATCACACTTAAAAGAAAGTTTGTGTCATTCAAGATTCAACAGTTTGGGGCAGGGAAAAAACAAAAGAGGAAAGTGTAATATGGATTGCCTCCCCCATAAAATGCAGAGTAAAAGCTTCTTAATGGATAACTAACGACTTCTGATTGTTTTCTTGAAAATATCAAGATTTTTTGTGACAACAGATTTAATAATCAGAGGTTAACAGCAAATATGGAGAAAGCAGACAAAGGTTGACTACAGGGGGGTAGAAAATAAGCAAAATAAGCAAATGTTAAAAGCAGAAGAGAGAAACTAATACAAAATTTCATAGAAAGGAGTTTTTTTTTTGGTGGGGGGGGGAACAGTTATAAATACAATGAGTGATTATAAACTTTCATAGTAGATAAAAGTGTAATGGTGGGATGGAATGTACTTGTATAATTTATACTTCTGAACTGAAATATCTTTGGGAGCAAGCTCAGACAGTCTATGTAAGAGTAAATTAAACAAATTTTGAGATTTGGTGAAAATAATTTCGAAAATAAATACAAATAACCTATTTTTTTTTTCCTAATAGTAAAAATAAAATCTCTTGCAGCCATTATTAAACAAAGTATGAATTGAGTCAAAAACAATAACAGATACATTGAAATAAACTTTACTGCAAGAGAGAATGCAATTACATTGCCATTATGCATCAGTGGCATCAATTTAGGTGTGAGACATGAAGAACATCAAAATCTACTTGGAAGCTTTTTTGATTTATTGACCAATTTGTTTTTTTTATGGCTTATCAACCCTTTATAGGTTACTTAAAGCCAGAAAATATTTTTAGATTATAAGAATTTCTTTGAAGATAATGATTTACCGATACATTTTACTAATTAACCCATAGCTGAGGGGAAAGAGGTGGATTCATACCTTTCCCAAGGATATTTGTGCATAAAGTAAATATGACAAACACAACTGGATTTCTAATTCTGAGCCCATTACACTGCCTACACAGCCAAGCTTACAGCACCTGGTATTCCCAAGCAGTCACCCATCTAGGTACTGACAGAACTCAACATTGCTTAACTTTGGTGATTGTACGAGAACCGGTGTAAGTAGTAACTTTGATTAAACAAAAATTACTGTACACAGGGAAAGAGCTTTGTACAAAAACTTTTCAAAAAACAAAACACTGTAGAATTAATAAAAGTTAAATATAAACTTTCGTTATATCATCACAGTATGGACAATTCTATAACAGATTTAAAGATAAAATTGCAAGTGAAGAAAAGGCAAATAATCTTGATGCAATTTCTTATCAAAATATTTCTTGCCTGAATAATTTTAATTAAATTTTACAATAACATTATATAAACTAAAACTAATTATACAAATCTTTAGTAAAAAGTACTAACATCTGTATTGCATTAAATACAGATAAACAAATTATATATCACAAGGGAATAATAAGAGTTTAGTTTATCAATATAAAAACATAATATATCAATATTTTCTTTAAATTCAGAACTAATTGCTAAAGATGTAATATCTTTAATATGTTGCTGCAGTTTTGTCATAAACTCAGTCTCCCAATAGGAACTGTAAAGACCCAAGTTGAAATGTCAAGTAAAACATTGTTTAACAAAAAGAGAGGTGGGGGGGGAGGAGAGGAGGAAATTTACTACAAAGATTTCCAGAACCAAAACTGCAAGAGTAGCAAAAATATAATCAACAGAAAAAAAAATCTTAAATAAACTTGCTATTCCTTCAGTGATTTATTCTTTAAAATTTTTTCTTTCTGAAAATGTAATTAACCTGGAGCTTTGTACTTGTAAGGTAAAAAATTGTGCAGTTTGATGTTAAAAATTTAGTTACATTTAGGTGATCTTTAATCATCTGCTATTTGACAACAACTAAATGTAATAAAAAATAAAAGGCTTGTTGAACATCCAATTATCTTCGATTTAAAGTATGCTGTTGAAAAATTTAAAACTACGACTTTGAATAATACATGGTAACCTACTTAGATCCCCCCACCCTTAAAAACTATAACTGTTTAGTTTTCATTAGAGTTTAATGTTATTCATTTAACTACAAGTCAGGTGAAAATATGAAGAGGTTATGACATCTGAAATATTCAGGTCAAGGTGAGAAGAGTAACTGAAAATTGCTGCAAAACAAATATACATGTTGCTTTGTTGTTAGAATCAATTAGTAAAAGGTATAATACAGTTTTCAATTTAGTTGAGTGTACAGCAGAGTAAAATCATTTAATCAAGCAAGTGTTATTTTTCTTTTAAATAAGAATCCTTTTGTAGTTAATATAAACCAGTTTCCATCACCAAGTCTAAATCTAGGTATGTATAAGGTAAGGTGCATTTTTTTTTTTTAAACCTGAAATATTCAGCTTATCTATGAAGCCATCACATTTGAAGTACAACTTCACCTTTCTTGTCTTCAATGTCTTATCAAGACTCACAATTCCTGAGCAAGATGTGTGCATGTCGATGAAAACTGAAGGAAATGCTGTTTTGTGAATAAATCGTGTGTTAACGTATAATAGATATTAACATTACAAAAAGAGGTAAAAAGAAAAAAATATTTATCAAGTGATTGCACGAAAAATCTATTTGGCTGGATTTAAATTGCACGTTGTTTAATATGCAGAGAGAGATACAGAAACTGTAGTGCTAAAAGAGTGTCATAAAATTTACTGAGTGACTGAATAAAACCATAATACAAAGAGAAGAGTGGGGAGAGAAAAAAAAAGAAGACATGTTAGATGATATACTACATCCCCCTAGCAGAAATTGGAGAAAGATTTAGATATAAAGGTGTGCAAATTATATTCAAATGGACTTATTGTAATCTGCCTGGCTATCAGAACAAAACTGTCATAACTATCTGTAAATATAACTAAAAACAAACAAAGAAAAACATTATTTTGAAATTTAATGCATTTGTCAGATAGTGTCCCAAATTTAATGAATAGAAACAGTCTGAATTTCTGGGATGAGTAGTTTTTATTTATATTATATACAGTGGGACTAGTGTCCTAAATTTTGTTGTTGTTGTTATAGCAACATTTTGGCTATTGTACTCTCCAGTTTTCTTCAAGTTTCTGTTAATCTGGGTAACCTTTCAAGGAATTTTGATTTGACCCCCTTATTTAACCTACAGTGGTAAACAGTTTTCATTCCATGGTACAATCACTATATGCCATCAAATTCATGAACCAATGCGCTTTAATCCACTTGGCTGTTATTGTTCTGTGGGACAATAGCCTAGAGAATTTAAATGTTTATTAATGAATTTGGTGGTAAAGCAACTGAGTTCAATCCCTGGGCTGGTAAATTTGGTGGCATAGTGGAATGAGAACCATCCAGTCATGTAGATTAAATCAAGGATTCAGTTCAAAATTTCCAAAAGGTTACTTGAATCAACAGATACCTGAAGAAGGCTGGAGAGCACAGCTGTTGAAATGTGATAATAATAATAAGAAAGACGAGGACATTAATCTGAGTGTACACTCAGATTAATGTCCTCGTCTTTCTTATTATTATTATCATCATTATCACAGCATTTCAACAGCTGTGCTCTTCAGCCTTCTGCAGGTATCTGTTGATAAATAGAAATAGATTGCTGTTGAAAAAGAAAAAAAACATACCCAAGTAAATGGCTAATCAAGTGTAATTTCATAAATATCTCATTGTTGAACAAAATCTTTACAACAAAAAGGTGATATGAACAACATGCAAATCTAATTTTGACAGGTCTAGTAATACTATTGTAAACTTTACAGGAAAACAACTATACTAAAAAAAAAAGTAACAGTAGTATAATCATGCTTAGTGGACAAAACAAAAGCAATAAAAAGAAAGGTCAAAAGCCAAATTTCCATCTGCTGAATTGAGAATAAAATTAAAATGACTTAAGTTTGTTCTATTATGGCTTGCTTTAAAAAGAATGATTTGCTAAACTATATTGTTAAGCATAATATTTTAATAAGACTTAAATAAATTTTGAGAACTGTATAACAAGTCTTTTTGTTTAATATTTTGACAGTTTGGATTACAGTATCTAATCTATCTAATTAATAAGAACTCATTAATAAATGAGAAAGATAAAGAAATTGAACAGTAATAACTTTTTTTCACCCGTTATTTATCTCTTATAATCGTTGGAGAAGATTCCAGCTCTGAGAAATAAAATCAAGAATACAAACTAGCAAATGTGAAAGGTAACATTGGATAAGTTAGTTTTAGCTAAGTTGATTAATGAACAAATTTCTAATTTTGTTTTATATAATGAAATCCTAATTTGTCAACATGCTTATGAAATATAATATTAAGCATAGTGCAACATTACAGAACACTAATTTTATTAAATAGCTGAGCTTCCCAAACAAATCAAATAAAGATGAAATTCAAATGTTTATCAGACTTAAACTAATAAAGTTACACTATTCAGTCTTTGTAGAATTATACCAAAAAAATAATAAACTTACAATATTTTTTCAAGTGGTGAAGATGATACCCAGTCCTTTGAAAGAAGCCTTTAAAATTTGCTAGTTACTTAATTTTTGTGCTATTTTTTTTTTTTGGACTGAATTTTGTCAGTGAAGCTGAAGCGTCCTTGACACAGAGACTGATTGATTGATTCATTTTCTATGGATTATCAACCCTTTGCAGGTTATTTATAGCCAGAAAATATTTTAGATTGTAAGAACTTTTTTTTTCTTACTGAATAATAAATTTTATAATAATGGATTCATGCCTTTCCCAAGGGGATTTGTGCATGAGTGAATATAACAAACCCAATGGGAATTGGAACTCTGCTCTCCAATTAGCAATTCTGAGCCATTAACTGTTACACCGGTTGCACATCCAAGCTTATGTC